CACAACGATTTTACTTCATCGTAAACTTTCAGCAGCAGCCGGAGCAGCACACGGGAGAGAAACCATTCAGAAGTAGTGTGGACACGGCCACTTTTGTGAAAGGATATGGACTCCATGATTCAGGAAAGCCCTTTACCTGTACAGAGGTTCAGAAGGACTTCCTGCCTGGCTTGGTGCGTCTGCAGCAGGACGCCATTCATACTGGAGAGAAGCCAAACACAATCAGCCAGTGCAGGGCAACTTTGCAGAGCAGTAAAGGTCATTACACTCGGGGAGAATGCAAGGAAGCTTTTGGTCCCAAATATACACATGTTCAGGATCAGGGTGTCCAACCTGGAAGTCCATGTTTTGTGTGCAGTGAATGTGGGAAAACATTCAGGCAAAAATCTTTATACACTATCCACCAGACATTCCATACTGCACAAGGACATCATGAGTTTGGCGAAGGTGAAAAATCCCTTAGACGAAGGTCAGCTCACAGTCTGTACGGAAAGACTCACACTGGGTCTAGGCAATACACGTGCAACAAATGTGGGAAATCCTTAAGCCACAAATCAGTACTTATTCATCCCCAGAGATGGCATAGTGGAGAAAGTAATCATGTTTGCAGTGGATGTGCAAAATCTTTTAGCCATCGCCAAATGTTGATTACACGTTCTGTTCAAACCTTAGAAAGGCCTTATAATTGTGGTGACTGTGCAAAACGTTTTACCTCTATCTCTGCTCTCAGTTATCATCAGAGATCTCACACAGGGGAAAGACCTTATGAGTGCAGTGAATGTGGGAAGTCTTTTATCTCCAGTACTGGCTTCCGTTCTCACCAGAGTGTTCACACTGGAGAAAAGCCTTATGAGTGCAGTGAATGTGGTAAATCATTTTTCTCTAGGTCTGACCTCCATTATCATCACAGAGTTCACACTGGGGAGAGGCCTTATGAGTGCAGTGAATGTGGCAAGTCCTTTCACCGAAGAAATAACCTCAATGTACACATAAAGGTTCACTCAAGTGAGAGGCCATACGAATGTAATGAATGTGGAAAATCTTTGAAGTGTAAGTCTTCATTCATTCAACACCAAAGAATTCACACAGGAGAAAGGCCTTATGAGTGCAGTGAATGTGGGAAATCTTTTACCACTAGTTTTGTCCTTCGTTCTCACCAGAGAGTTCACACCGGAGAAAGGCCTTATGAGTGCAGTGAATGTGGGAAATCCTTTACTGCTAGCTCTGTCCTCCATAATCACCAGAGGGTTCACACAGGAGAAAGGCCTTATGAATGCAGTGAATGTGGGAAAACTTTTACCACTAGTTCTGTCCTCCGTTACCACCAGAGAGTTCATACTGGAGAAAAGCCTTATGAATGCAGGGAATGTGGCAAGTCCTTTCCCCGAAGAACTAACCTGAATGTACACATAAAGGTTCACTCAGGTGAAAGGCCTTATGAGTGTAATGAATGTGGGAAATCTTTTAAGTGTAAGTCCAAACTCATTGAACACCAGAGAATTCACACAGGAGAAAAGCCTTATTTGTGTAGTAAATGTGGGAAATCTTTTAGTCGTAGCCACGCCCTCCAGTATCATCGACAAAGTCACCTTGGAATAAGGCCTTATGAGTGTAATGAGTGTGGGAAATCTTTTGCTTGTAGTTCTTCCCTCAGATCTCACCAAAGAGTTCACACTGGAGCAAGACCTTATGAGTGCAATGAATGTGGGAAATCTTTTACAGCTAGTTCTGTCCTTCGTGCTCACCAGAGAGTTCATACTGGAGAAAGACCGTATGAGTGCAGTGAATGTGGCAAGTCCTTTCTCCGAAGAAATAGCCTCAATGTACACATAAAGGTTCATTCGGGTGAAAGGCCTTA